CGAAGGGGCGGTTCGGGAGGAGGACAGAATCCCAGCCTCTAGATTAAGATTATCTGCACACAGTCTGGCTATCGAGACAGGCAGATGGGCGAAAAAGCCACGCGAACAAAGACTCTGTGAGTGCGGCAACATACAAACGGAGAAACACGCAATATGTGATTGTATTCATACGGCTGATTGCCGCAACAAATTCCCTACAATAGACTTTACAAACTTAGAAAGGGTTTTCAATGGCCCTGTTTATGACGTATGCAGATGTGTAAGAATGTGTTTAACTAAATATTAAAGAAAAACGAAAGAAAGGTCAAACCCGTATACAACAAAAGCTTTGCCCGCGCAATGTAATTCGTTTGCTTATATGGGAATAAAATTAACTAACTAACTATGAAAAGCCCCCTTTTCAACAGGCGTGTTTTATTAATTAATTCATGTCACAGAGTACATTTATACAGGCAAAATTTCATTCAAGGAACTAATTTCAAGAAATGAACGAGAGTAAAATATAACACCCCATTTCCATAGATTTTTAGATCGATCTATCCCTGTGGGGAGTCTCACTAGATTACTGTCAGCTTGGCCGGCTTAAGCGTCTGTCCCGCCTACTAAAAGCTGTAAAGGGGTAATTAACTATGGTGTCCGCTCGGCTGACTGCAATTTAGCCTGAACCCCCAGGGAGTTAGGTCGATCTAAAACTTAATCTTTAGATCGATCTAAATCTCTGGGAAAGCACCCTAAGTCAGCACAAATATAAACCATACAACAATGAGTCTATATTTAAAGTATAATCCCTCCTGTTATGGGCCATCACCTTGGTGCAAAACAGTATATCGGTTTTTCCACCGCGAGCCCCTTTAACTAATGTATTGTAGTACTCATTCTACCCATTTCATTTGACATCTCTGTTTCTTTCCCTTCACCTTTCTCTTGTTAGAAGAAGGTTAAATAATTAAGCACTCAAAATCTGCATCACCAATCTTCAGAAAAGAATAAGTGAATGAACCATTGGGCTGGTCCACAACGTCCGACACAGCAAAATGAATCAAATAACAGCTTTCACAGATTCAACTGCAATTAGCTATATAGTGTCACTACAAATATAATCCGCTGCACGCGCGAAGCTGTTGAACAAAAGGATAGTTCGCTACGGGAGACCATTTGTTTACATAAGTACTCTTAGGGGGAGTGCCTACCAGGGGTTAGGCTAGTCACTATATTCCGTCAAAAATCGTTTAGCTACCCTATCATTATAACACTCCCTCTATTGTATTTTTTGTCGTTATAATCGCATCTAATTTTCTTATGGTAGACGGAATTAATGTACACATACATAATATTAGGATGGTATAAGGGGTTACTTAAAATCGACTAATTATGACAAATGCTGATGGTAAAACATTAAAATTTAGCTAATTATATTAAATGAGTGCATTTTGATGATACTTTTCCAATTAATAATTGATTATGGCGTGATAATAATGTATGTAATGTAGTTTCAAGCGTGTATTAAAAGGGATAACAACTCTTGAGTTATAAAATTCCACAATTAACACAATATTAACTACACATAGCAATATATTAAATTCCACATCACTGTTTAAAACAGTAACATCTGTTTTTGTCACTTTTCCCGCCATGAAAGTGGTATCTCATTAATTGTCCCTTTCAGGACCCCAGGCTGGAGACAGTGTTCCCAGTGAAAGGCCCCATGTCTGGTGGCACCAGGCTGACTGTGCGAGGGAAAGATCTTAACGCTGGCAACCTGGACAATATCAGCCTAACCCTTGGAGAGGAAATGTTGCCTTGTGTTATAGACAGGTTAGGATACGGCATGGATTGTAGGCGATGGACTATTTTACATTTTGCCCTGAAAGTATTTTATAAAGTTTGTCCCGAAAGTGTTTTAAAAGTCACTAAAAACAAAGAAATATTAAACATTGGGACATTCAGTGGAGATATTCATTTCTTATTTTCCTCAATAAGCAATCTGTGCGACCATTTTCATATATTTATTGGGTTAATCTTTTGAAAATGAAATACTGCTTTTTTGATAGACAATGCATTATAAACATTGATTTAATAATTACTTCAATAATAATCAGCCGTAATAACTAAAAACAATGAAAAACCGATCGATATTTAAAATAAGTATAAAATATTATTCAAAGAAATTGCAAGACATGCAGCTATGGTAATTCAACCTTTATTTTATTGTCATTAAGACAGTGATATTGTTTAAAAAGAAACATTTTGTTTCATTTCCAGTCGAACCAGACATTCCACCATTTGTACCACTCCAGGGGTCAGATGGCCAAAGGTCGTGACCTCTGTCAGGATGTTTTTTGATGGCAGTGTCAGAATGTTGGATCAGGACCCCTTCACATACACTGAGGACCCTGTGGTGGACAAGATAATGCCACTAACTAGCTTTGCCAGGTAACGTACATTAAGCCGGAAGTAATGCAAAGTGCCCTTAATGCACTTCCAGAATCATTTTCATAATTTTTGTATTGATGGACCTTCGAGCAAAATTATGAATTATTAATGCGGAGTATATGGATATTACTACAAAAGTGTGCGTTTTTAGTAACAATATGTTCAATATTATTCAGCGGAGGACGGATGTTGACAGTCACTGGGAAAAATTTTGACTCAGTTCAACAGCCAAGGATGTTTGTATGGAACGGGAAGATAACGTCGGAAACAACGGTAAGGGGAAGGCAATACTCACGTACTTTACAAAATGTTTTCTGCCCTCTGCATTCTGCACTCTGTAGGGGTTCTTGAGTACCAGTGGTTACGTGTAATGTGTGTGCTTGTCAGTGGTTAATGTGTGTATATGTACTTATGGGCTGTACTTTTACTTATCATAGTGAGAAAAGGGCAACCCGAACCTCCCAAGCTATTTTTCTTCGTTATACAAACTTGATGTAAATTATTCTTCTCTGGTTTATTTTGGGTTGAGTAGCATATAATGCACCTTTTCGCTCTTTATCTTAGCATCTAATCATTGATTTTTTTTTTCTTTCTGTCAGTATTGTCTCCATATACCAGAAATGTCCAGCACCACATTAACATGTCCATCGCCAAGAGCGCCTAAAGGGATTCATCCAACGCTTCAAGACACTTCAGGTTCCTTGCGCCTGAAGAGACAGTCAGACAGCATTACCATCGCGAAGATTGGCTTTATAATGGACGGAGTGATAGCAGTGCGGAATTTAACAAACATAATTTCTTCTCTTCAATATGTTGTGGACCCGTTGTTCCAGGATTTGACCAGTGACGGTTCTAGTGTGAAATATCAAAGTAACGCTAGCTTAGTAATACGTGTGAGTCAATCTTTGTTCAAGTCAATTTTCCGACATTGAAAAAATAATCGTGGCTTGACGAAAACCCAAACTAAATGAAGTAAAATAGAAATGGAACAACAAAATATCAATCTTTTGAAATATACAGGAGTTTCAGCGCCTAATTCCTGAACCCATTGCACCATGATTAAACCTAAGCTATGACCAGCTTGAGAGCTTAAATCTCTGAATATTGCGCAATGCAGCAATCTTAGTAGTCAGTTTATTGGTAGCCACACACCTGACTGCACTCTTCTCCATTCCCATATCTGATATGTGATCTGTGTTAAAAAAAGATTGCGTTTTTATGTAGGCATACCTTTGACAATGAAATATTCCATAATCATAAATGTTGGATCTGTACAGTCAGTGCAAAATTCCTGAACCCATTTCATCACAGTTAGAACTCATTTTAAGATGTGATTATAAAATTCCTACATAAAACTCATTATCGTTCAACAGGGTCATTATCTCAACATTGCCGCAAGTGAAGCAGACGTGACTGTTCTGATTGGTGGGCATAAATGTGACGTCACGGGTTTGGCTCCCAATTTCCTCGTCTGCATACCGCCGCATTTTGACTACGGAGATAAACAGGTGCTTGTAAGTATTCCATTCCATTATGGATCTTGATTTGTTTGTTTGGAATATATTTATAAGAATGATACAGGGTGTCTGTAGCCTACAGGGTACTCGTCAAGGTTAACACTACTGCTCTATCAAATGTTTTTTTTAATAGAGTGATACCTAAAAAACATAACTCTCTACAATATTTATAGGTTACTTGTTAGGTTACTTTCTGGTTAATTACTTTTGTAAAGGTTATCATAGTTAAGTCTTGCAATTACATTACTGGTAGTCAAGTCACAGTGAACTTATTTTACAGAAGAAAGAATAGTAATGTATGTAATTGGAACGATAATTCTCTTCAGATACGTATGGGTAATTTATTGTACCAAGTGGGACATCTAAACTATGGGGATCCTCCTGCAGATCATCCTCCAGTCAACTATGGTTGGGTAGCCGGGCTAATTGTCCCTATTGTTGTTTTATCTGTCATTGGAATCGTTACCGGAGTTAAAGTCTACAAAAGATGTGCAAACGGCACTACTTCCAATCACAATGGCGCCAGTGAGACGGAGTACCTCGGTTTAATGAGTCAAGCCACACCACCGCGTGTTATCAACACTACAGAAGACGTCTTGATGCTGGTGAAGGATGATGACTTAAAAGCTACTCTAAAACCTGTACTGTTGAGCAGATACCGGATTAGAATTGGGAAGTTAATAGGCACAGGTGCGTAAATATGTTTCTGGTCTTTATTCATGTTTTTTCATTGACGCAACAGGACTGGTCCTTTAACATATGCCCGCAAGTGAAGCTATAGTTACGCCCTGGTGCTTTTTAGTCGATTCGGTTAGTATATTTTAAACAACAATGCAATATACATATAGATGAAAGCGAGTAACATATGTTTGTATAGCATTAAAGTTTATTTATGTATTTGTTTCAGGGCACTTCGGTTGTGTATTTGAAGCGGTTTACGAAGACAGTGAACAAAGCAACCCATCAAAAGTTGCCGTGAAAACGTTTCAAGGCACTTGCTAAAATGTTCTATCGTTATCTTGAACTTAATATATGAATATGGTTAATAAAATGGTCTCTGTTCATGATGCTTTTTTCAATTATATGTTGTCTGGTATTATAACAAATAACACGCAATCATGTCTATGCCCAAACTTATGTTCAAAATGTGATTGATAACTGTGCTTAAATCAATAAATACCGAAACGACTATTAATACTACACACACCCACACACACCGCAAAGTCTGCAAACAATCTATATCTGAACATGTGCATATACTACATGAACGCTTTACTTCCTGCAGGAAAGGGCGCAGATATTCAGCACCTAGATGAATTCCTCAGAGAAGGAGCTCTGATGACGTCATTCCGCCATGATCACGTGTTGACAATACTCGGGATATGCTTCGAAGTGGACGGCAACCCCATGATTATATTACCGTACATGGCCAATGGAGATCTCAAAACTTACATCGAGAATCCTAAGAATGTGCGTAAAGCCTAGGTCCCAACTACGTTTTGGACGCACGGTTTTTAGGTTCCTTGCGTCCGGCTAGGACGTAGCTAATAGAAATCAAGTAATTGGCGATAAGTTTCTTTGTGCTGTTTGCGTCCTCCAAAAGTCGCACGATGGACGTGCTCCTCAGGCACGAACTCCCAAGTATGCCCCATTTTTTGGGCCGTAGACCACACATAGCAGTACGTACGTTCGGTTGGGACCTAGGCTTAAGAAATGTTGTTGTGAGTTTGGAAATGGTAATAACTGTTCAAGTTAAGACCGGATATGCAACTACATGTAAACTTAAACTACCTTACTAGAATACATTCAGGAAGATAAGTGAAATGTTTGTAATTGCCTAGTTTAGAAATAGATTCAGACCTACTGAAAGCGCTTGTATGATCAATTTAAAACACTTCATAACGTATTGTTTCTAAATATTAGGCACCTACTGGACTACAGCTGCTGCAGTTTGGTTTGGACGTAGCCCGGGGCATGGAATATCTTGCTGAGAACAAATTTGTCCATCGAGATTTGGCTGCTAGAAACTGCATGTGGGTAATAGTCAGTCCTTTGTTGTGCCTGGAGGAAGAGGTGTTTTCATAGGCAAAAGGGGAGAAAATCGCTTAATTGTTGAGTGCTATAATGTCAGTAAATAATATTCTTTATATTCTTAGAGGTACTATGCTTTGACACAATTTGAATGTATTTGGTGGTATTTGTGAGTATTATATGCGAGTAGAGGCAAGCAAATGATCAACCAAACCTAGAAGAGTCAGACCATTGTCAGTCTGCAAGAGAAACTTGACATTTGTGTCGTATTCACTGGTGATAAAAAAAAACTCATCCAACTTCAGTGACAGATTTAGGGGAGTGTTGGGGGGGGGCGGTCTTGACCCTCACCATTCGATTTCTGAGAAAAATCACTCCAATGCTCCCCTCTTGAAATTAGAATTTTTACTAACTGAATCGTACTGTAGTTCTCAACTGTACCAAGTGGCACCGTTCGCCCTCTTAAATACTAAAAAAAAAATTCCAGGCCCTTCAGCGGACCCAAACCTCAAGCCAAAGGAGGGGGGGTGACTTCCCATCCGCGGATCCCCTTCAAATAATCCTGGATCCCGCCCCTGAGCTTTGCTATATTTTCAGGCTAGATGACCAGCTGCACGCCAAAGTGGCCGACTTTGGACTGACTCGCGACGTGTACACCAAGGAATATTACAGTTCCAGAGACAAGCAGGCCAAGTTGCCGGTGAAGTGGATGGCGCCAGAGTCCATGGAGAGAAACGTTTACACATTTAGATCCGATGTGGTATGGGCATGCGGTTTTATCTAATTTTACTTCGAAAATTACTGCTTTGGCCATTATTATACAGTAATACAGTTTTGATTCAAAAATCAATAAACTGCATGGACAAGAAGTCAATTTTCTTTCAATTTTAAATGTACGTAAAATAAAACACTACAATTGTGAGATATGGTGTCATTATAAAAAAGGATATGGCCACTAGCTTTTCATCTCTTAGCTTTAAAATGTGTTTGTTTTTGTTTCTTCTTTTTTGTGTCTTCGGAAAGTACACCGTTCAATTATCGGACACCTTAGGGGAAGTCCTTAAAATATGATGTCCACAATCGCTCTGCAATAAGTAGCCCGATAGTTTAAATTAAAGAAAACTTCCCATTATCCATATAACGCATAATAATGTATGCTTTTCTATTTAAGAGACAGACTACAAATGTCAAAACATTCTATAGATTATGGAAAATTTGCTGTAATGCGCACGGTGGTCCTATGACGTACTAATATGGGTATTGTTCACTGGCGATAAGGTTTTTATTTTCATGATATAAATCTTTCTCTTTTCCGAAGTGGTCCTATGGCGTACTACTTTGGGAACTGTTCACCCGCGGTAAGGTACCGTATCCTGGTGTAGACGGATGGGATGTTCTGCAGTTCTTAAATCTTGGGAGAAGACTGGATAAACCCGACTACTGTCCTCAGCACGTGTAAGTCCTGGCTAACAGGACAACAAACCTACGGGAATATACACATTTTGTACAGGTTGTTATGTCTGGTCTGACGTGAGTTTTAGATATTTATAATGCCGCATTCCCGATACAGTGCGAACTTATTGTTGTCATTATAAGAGGGTCTGAATTTTTCAGTTCTCTTAAAGATGCATATGAAGTCAATTTCTTTGCCATAAAAGGCAACCAAATGCGGGCATACAGTTCCAAGTATTATAACTAATATAATTACCAAAACGCATTATTTAATTTTACCCAAAAATGGTATTTGAACGGATTTTTCTGCTAGCATTCTATACTGTATATGAGGCAGAAGAGTAGGTCCCGAAAGTAGGTTTAATTTTTGACCAAAAAATTAAAGGAAGGAGCAGACTAAAGCTTTTTTATCCATTTTATCCCTTGGCATGTCGAATGTATTTAAGTCGTATAAGAAACTAGTAGAAGTGTATATGTTAATGGGAATCGACCCTCCACCGATGATCATATGTAATTGATGCTAATTTTGCACGTTTGTCCCTGCTGATCTCCCTGCAGAATCAGTGTCTTCGTGGTATCAGGACAATCCCCCCCGGACAATCCCCCCCGACTCCCCCCCCCCCCCCGGAAGCATACATATTTATATACAAATATAAAGTAAAGAGTACAAATTTCAAATATTTGTATCCATTTCTGAATATTTATTTGTGTGATGATGCAACTCGAGGACAGATAATATTAATTTTATTAAACAAATTATTTTTATGGAGTACAAGTACATAAAAATTTTCGAGATAGAAGTACAGAACATTTTATTTAAAAATCTGATCAAAGTATATCTCCAGGTAAAGGAGGGATAAACAGGTGATCTCACTCATCCAGGTNTTGATTGAGTAAGTCTTGGATCAAAGTGCATCTCTAGGGAGAGGTGGGGTAAACAGATTTTCTCGCTTATCCAGGAATCCCTTTGAATATTTGTCACTTTTAATTGCTTGACCACTACCCACCACCCACCACACAAAAAATATTCATAAAATATCTGTTTACCTGTTCATCTGTTTACCCCATCTTTCCCTAAAGGATAGGTGATTATACTTTGATTAGATATTTAATAAATCTTCCTGTACTTGTACTCAATGAAAAGGGAATTTGTTATAAAATAATTTGTTTCATGATGAAGTTGTATTATCACACTAAAAAAAATTAATATAATGGATGAAATGTTTTAAACTTTACACTTTCTATTTTATATTTGTATGTAAATATATACTTCTTGGGGGGATTGTCCGGGGGGGGGATTGTCCTGGGGGGAATTGTCCGGGGGGGGATTGTCCTAGAATCGTCTTCCTGTATCAGTGTATAACAGTGATAGTTGCATTCAGATACGCACAGTGTCCAGGCAGATCTCGGAAATGGGGGTCACCCGGACATTAACCAAAACATCATATGTACATATGTAGGCCCTGATGAAGAAGAAGTGAGTTTCATCTACTGGCATTATATTGGGATCTCGTACTTGCTGCCCCGATTGTACCCATTTTTTTGCCTACCCTGCTGTCTTTACTATTCCAGGTACCAGCTCATGCTGAAGTGCTGGTCATGGGAGCCAGAGGAGCGACCAAACTTCACCCCTATTGTAACACAGATAGAGGAGACAGTGAGAGTCAACACGGAAGTTGGCGGAGAACCTGGTCACAATGAACATGGGGAAGGGGATGGTGATTATCATGTGTACCTTGAAGTGTTCTAGGTACAATGTGTTACGGGTCAGAGTACCCAATGCCAGCAAAAATCAATGACAAAAATTTTAAGAAGTTTTAATATTTTATTAAAACTAAATAAACTAATGACAATAACAATAAGCTATTCTTAATACACAAATAAACCTATCTGGAAGCATGAAGTGTCCTGTGTGAAAGTCCGATGTGAATCCGTCGACTGGAGAGTGAGTGGAGATAAATCGGCTCAAAGTTCAGTGAAAGTGTCCGATGAAATCCCACAGTAATTACGATGTAAGTTCCAGTAGAAAATATGAGTGTCGGTTCAGTGGTAAATAGGTTCCAAATAAAAATATTCTCCTTCAAAAGTCCCAAAACAAAAAAACAGTCTCCTATCCGTTCATACCAGCGTCTGTCTAAACTAACGCTCTCGAGATACTCATGCTCTCGCGATATGGTGACGTCATAAGCTGACCTACATATACACAACACAATGTAACATATGTAAATAATTTAGCCCAATCGGGTTTTGGACAGTGCTTTTTATTTGATTTTTGCTATGGATTTGGTACATTTTTTACCTGCATATTTTATCTCAGTTGTATGTTTATTAACGATCTTTAGAAACGAATTGCGTGACCACATTATATTGGATTGGGCAATTAAGAAATAAATAAGACTGCTGTTTCCACGCTTACTGAATTTTGGTGTTCTTTAGTCTGTGGGTTTTCACATGAGGTGCATGGCGTGTAAGAGTATATTCAGAATGATGATCCGCCGACTAAATATGGTCCACCCCGCCTCGGCAAGTGCTGTCGCTGCAGGGACCTACCTATTAAACCTCAGAGCCGGGATTTAACTCGTTTAATGGTGCGTCTGGAAGCGGGGAGTCCAGCAGGGACTTAGCGGCATATTTAGTCGGCGTATCAGTTAGTCCGCGGATCATCTGTGCTGAATGCGCTCTAAGAACTAAGTTGGCCCGCCGCCAGTGAACAAGAACAAGGACGCGGGAAATATTGGGCAAAGGCAAAGTGAAAAAAGTCATGCTGTTAACTATTTAATTGAATTCAATAGGGTTTCAATCTTCTCGAGTATCATACACTATATATCACACACTATATGTTTTCTTGGAAATCAGATATCTTGCAAATCAAGCTATATACTATTGATCTGGGATAGATTAAGCAGAATACTAAGGACGACAAACATACATACAAACAAGCTCACAAAAAACAGAAAATGTAAGAGGTACAAGAGGTACAGAAAGAGAGAGAGAGAGAGAGAGAGAG